TAAAAGATAAAATGATTCCAAATTGTCCCTTAGTTAATCATAAGCCAAATGTCCACAAATTTAGTTCTCCAAAAATGTTGGTTAGGAACCCCCTTCTAAAATGCAATCACAAGGCAATGTTCATGTTCATGTCCTAAAAGTAGCTATAGTTAAAAAGGTGTATGAATCATCCAACTTTTAATAGAAATAATTCTCAAGCCATCATGATGATTCATCAAAATTTCATCTATTTCATTTAATTTTATAGTCCCACATAAACCTTTTATTCTTAGGGAGGGCAACACACTAATACAAAAAGATAGATGAATCTAAGAGTCCTCAATCTCCATATTAATTATCGCTCGTCCACATTAATTTGATAATTGAAAAAAATCACACACTCACCTTAAAATGATTAGAGCAATTCGAAGAGTTTATACCCGTAATGGTTCAAGCCAATATTACTTGTCCACACAGCTCAATTTTTTTTCATTATCTTTATTTTACATCTATATATTTTAGGATTTATTTTATTTTATTTTGATGTGTTGGAGCTTATAAATTCTAACTTAACTATAGAACTATATGTGATGTTTGCGAGGGTAAATTGAACCAAATTAACTAATGAGCCAATTTACGTTTAACTAGACATATTACTCATGAGTTGAGCACAAGAGATATAGCTTTAGCCTGGTTCAACTCAAACTGTTAATCTCATGAACTAACACATTAAAGTAATGTCAATATAAAATGGATTAAATTAAAAAAAAAGTAGTATGTAAAATATTTTAAAAAAAATTAAAATTCATATTTCACTTCACAAAATTTTTTTTATTTTTTTATTTTTTCTTATTTAATTGCTTGTTTTTCTTTTTTTTTTCATTTAATCACAACTTTTTTTAACTATTATTATTATTATTATTATTATTATTATTATTATTATTATTATTATTATTTTGTCTTGAATGATCCACATCACTTTTGGTTCTATTGTAACAAAAGATTCCCCTTTGATGTGGAAAAGACATCTTCTACCAAGATATTCACCATGTAACAAAAGATTCCCCTTTGATGTGGAAAAGACGTCTTCTACCAAGATATTCACCAAAGAAGCTGAAACCCTTTCGAGAGAAGCTATTCAGGAACAAATTGAACTCTTTCTACTTCAGGAACAACCTATGAGTCAATTTAAATTCATAAAATTAAGCTCGAGCTCAAGCTCAAATTGGAGTTATCTGGAGAAGGCGTTCGTGGAAACAACTACATGTGAAGAAGCAGCGAAATTTGTGAGAATTATGGATGTTAATTAAATCTGCCAAATGTTAGGATTTACTATATGAGGGATTTAAGCTTTAACAAAGGAGAAACGATCAAGGTTTATAATCAATAAATTTTATAAATTTACATATGTCTCTGTTGTGAAAAAATAACGGCAATAAAGCGAAAAAATTGGAATGAGAAATTCGCAAATCAGAAAACAGATAAAAACATAGATTTACATGATTCGTCAAATTACCTATATTCACGGAGTTGCATAAGATTTTATTAACTTGATGATTACACCCATTAATGGCCTTAACAATTGCAAAAATACTCTCTTACTCTCTCTCTCCTCCTTCTCACTGTCTCTCTAACCAAGAGCCACCTCCCAAGAAGAAGAATTGCAGAAGAGAGAACCAAAAGCTCTGCTGCTTTTGCAATAGCTTCACGTAAGCCAAAACTCACAAAAAACGTGAAGAAGCCTGGTTGGGGAGAGCTATATAAATCCAATTTCTTATGTTGTAGGCTAAAGCACCGAAGGAATTAATATCGAAGGGAGAATCAGCTAAGATCCAATAATCCCGATTTCAATTCCAGCATATCTTTTAACCATCCAATTCAAGGCCCATTTAAAGAAGAGCTTTAATTCGTAATTATGAGGAAAGGCGGGATTAGAGGAGGGAGGGAGAAGCGACAGGGATTATCACCAAAGAAAGTAATTAATAAAAATTAATTAATTTCCATAAGAGCCGAGATTTTTAATTGAGCAGTGGATCAGGCTTCACCACTACTCAACAGTCTCAAGGCAATTAGAACTAATTTTCGAACATATTTTGAGCAATAAATATTCGAACTCAAATAAAAAATTATTAAGGACTCTGATTTCAGTAAATTTAGAGTCAAGCTGACCGACTCGATGAGACAGACCCACTGATGCCAAATTGGCCCAAGCCGAGTCGAATCAATCATGAAGCAAGTCATTAAACCATTTTTTAAAGTTTTGGGTGGCTAATTAGAATTTCAAACGGATTCCAAATCTGACAATTTTATAGCTAAATAGAACATTTCGAAAAGATGGGTCTAACAAGCTTAAGATCACTCAATTTTGAAATTGTTTTAAATGCCCATAAAATACTATTTAATTAAGAAGAATCTATCTAGTTCATCCAATAGAGTGATACAAATTTCTTTCTGATTTGTAGGAAGTTCACTCTCATACTTTATAAATAGAAGCCAACTCAATTCATAAAAGAGGATCTAGACTTTGATCTGAAAGAAGAGTTGGACCTAGAGTTGGTTCATTAAGAAGAAGCTGAATTTCAATGTCATTTCAGAGCGGAGATCTAGCGAACGCTTCCAGCTTTTACAGTTGCTAGACACCATCAACCATCACTCTCCAACCACTATCTATCTATCGTCGTCGACCGCTGTCGGTCTCCACATTGCTCATTACAACGAAGTTTCTCGCAGAGTAAAAACCAACATTACGAAGTAACAAAATACTGTGCAGAGTAAAGACTAATGTCATGGAATAACGATGCACTGAATGAAGCAGTGCATCATCCCGAACATTGTGCAACAACAGACTTTAATGTTGTGAGATATGTACTTCTTGACATAGAAATGAAACACAAAGAACACAAGCAAACACAGATCTTTTACGTGGTTCGATCCAACTGGATCTACGTCCACGGGAGGAATCAATCAAATATTTCATTAAGGCAAAGGAAATGGAGAATACATAGCTTATACATAGAGATGTGCCCTCATCTTTCTTCTATGACCTCCCTCTCAAGCGACACCTCGATACAAGGCCTCAAGATGCTCTCCTCCTCTCTAGCTTTCTAGCTATTCTCTCATCCTTTGTTGTAGCTTAAGATCTCTTCCCTTACTCTCCTAAGCCTCACACCCTCTCTATTTATAGAAGCAAGAGAGTGGTAGGTGGGAGGTAGGTGAGATGTGGCAGGTGAGCGGTATCACATTACAAAAGTGTCCTTTTACCTTAGTTCAATAATTGGAGGTCAAAATAACACTTAAAGATGATGCACTAAAGTCCCAACAACACTCCCAGTTGCAACTGCTCCCAAAAGTCCCAACAACACTCCCAGTTGCAACTGCTCCCAACCATTGTACATTGAATCCTTCTGCATATAATCATTATATTTCAGGGTACTATGTAACCCTTTCTCGCAAATGAGATAAGGGTTTGTGCATGTACTCATCAGCTTATAGTTTATCATTCTGACTGGGCTAGGCCCTGCAGATTTTGTCTTTTTTGGGTTTTTCCCGTTTTTTTTTTTTTTTTGATGTATTCTCTTGTCACTTCAATTACATGTATGTGTGATGAACTTTTATGCAACACTAACACTTAAATAATCACGATAATGTTGTGAATTTTTTGACATGCATCAGGTACGATTACTCAAGAAATAGGTAATACCCATGTCTCCTTCCTCCCCTTCCTCGCATGATTCAGTTTGGGAAAATCTCATAAATCCACTTGCCAACAGAATTTAGTAAATCACGATTTAAGTTAAAAATGGAGAAAAAAATGACATTTCAAATTAGGATTTGCAGATGTCATTTTTGCTATTAGGCGAGATTTAGGCTTAATTATACTCAAGTTAAACTTGTCAGATTTGTTGTTTGGCAGGATTTTGGTTAAAGCCTATACAAATCCTACTACCAAATAGTCGCTTTGTTTATTTGGTCGGGCTTTAACTTTGCTAAATTTCCTTAGATTCTTTTCTTATAGTTTCATAATGTTTGCATTATATTTTGACGTTGTTGGGTTTCAAAAGGATTCAAGTAGGATTTAGTGAATCCTATAAATTTGGATTTAATAAATCTCAAGGCTATTAAATCTTAAAACTATTTGCCATGATAGAAGTTAAATTTAGGCCCTGTTTGGGCAAGTGTAATTATTTGAAAAAATAATTGTGAAGTTGTGTTATCAAATACGGTGTTGCTACCATTACAATTTTTTTTTATTTAAAAAAAGTCAGAACACAATTATGATAGTCATCCTACTTAGCCAAGTCTTATCGTAAAACACAACTTTTCCACCACAAATCATTGAGAATGCAGACAAAAAATAGTTTTGCTAAACGTCCTAACAGCACGGTGCAGACCGCACCACACCACACCACACCACACCATGACGCTCCAAATAGAGCCTAGATAAATCTTGAAGAATTGTTCGAAATTTAATTTTAAGATTTAAATCTATAAGTTCAAATAAGGTTTGAATATTAATTATTAATGCTTAAATGATTAAGAGTGATTTAATATTGATTCATCTTTTTTAATAATATTAATTATCAATTATTTATTTCTTAAGCTTATTAATTATTATTTAAAGCTCAATTAAACTAATTAATTACTAATCAATACTTAATATACATTTGCTAACCATTAATTACTTGTTCACTAAGTTTGTTAATCACCAATAAAAATCCCATTAAATTAATTAATTTAAACCTCTATATTATTATTCATTAATTAATTATTAATCAGTCACATATCAATACCATATCAATTGTAATTCAATTAAATAAGTTATAACTAATTTAATATAATATGTTAATAAATCATTAATTCTACTTAATTAAATTAAATTAAATTAATCTAAATTAAATAATATATTTACAAAAATAAACCAAAAAATTATAAAGTTAATTAAATTTAAGAAACTTTAGTTAACCTAACTAAAAAACATAAAAACACTTTTTTTTTCTGCAACTTGTAATCTTCAAGGAAAGTGGAATCCACTTCTTCCTCTCCCTTCCGCTCCAAAGATGATTGAGAGGGCACTCGCAGCAGCTTGGTTGAAGAAGATTTGAGGGTTGCACGGCTACATGTAGGATTTAGTAAATTCTTTAAATTTGCATTTAGCAAATTCTAAGGTATTTGAACCCTTTCAGATTCTCCTTCTTCGCCTCTACTTGTTCTTGCTTGATTGAGTTAATTGGTTGGAGAAGTGCTTATAGGGCTTCGGGGGTGGCAGAGGAAGCTGATTCTGCGGCGAAGGAAGAGGCAGACCCTTGCAGATCTTACTACCTTCGAGAACGGACATTGGAAAACTTTGGGCGGACCTTCGCGTGCAGATCTTTTAGTCTTTGCGCCAAATACTCGTGAAGGGAAGAATTCCTCACATCGTCGACTTCCACTTCGCTTCGTCCAGTCTGAAACCCTAACTGGAGCTAGCTTTGAAGGGAGCGACAGGGTGGCTGTTCGAAGAAGAAGACCTTTGAAACTCCAATCTTTCGCCCCCTTTTGCTCTTTTCCTACGTGAAACATTGCTAAGGTAACTTTGCTCTTGCTACCCTCCGCCTCTGCTCGCTTCACTTTGTACGTTCCAACAAGATACGTTCCAACAAGATGTAATAAGTCCATGATTTAGAAAAAAATTATTCTCTGGACATAAAATTTACGCCCGGGGTAGTTGGTGGCTACGTGCTACATGTCAAGTGTTACATGTCAAGTAGGCCTCATTTTTTCATAAAATCTACTTAACCAGTATATTACAGTGTGTCCATTTGTCATAATGCCTATGAAAAATGATTGCTTCCCTTGTCTTAATAAAAGAAATGCTCAAAATTGAGTACTTACATGGCAAAGAATTAGATTTATGTTAAAAATATATTGTAAATTATGTAAATTTGAATTTAATACATTCTATAAGAGCTAAATGCGAAAAATAATTTGTCAATAAATTTGATAAATTCAATTAAATCTTATCAAATTGCTTGACAATTTGTGAGAAGCTTTAAAAGTGTGTTATATTTGTTAGAATAATAAAAAAATATTTTATTACCATAATAAAAAAATAATTATTTAATTTAAATTGAATTTCAAATTAAGTTTTAATTATGCCAATTAATAACTACTATTTTATTATTAATTTAAAAATCATTAAACTAATTACTTCTTAAATAATAATTCAAATTAATTTTGAATTGTTTAGTTATTAATTTTTTTATTAATTAAGTATTACATAAATTTAATTTTTTATTTATTAATTAACTAATAAATAATTTTATATAAATTTACTTAATTGTCATTAATTTAATTATTAATTAGTAATTATTACCCTAAACCCTGAAACTATCTCCACTTTCCCCTAAACCCTCCCTGAAGCCCTTGCCAGCACCAATCCCTCTCCACGCGACCCCCCTGCTCCCGTCCCCGCCCTTTCCCGGCTTCGTAGTTTCGCCTAAAACGAAATTCCTTCTCCTCTTTCCGCTTTGTTCCTACCGTAAGGTAAATTCACATCTTCCTTTTCGCGCGAAAGCCTTCCCGGATTTACTAAGCCGAGTCATGGGATTTAGTATATCCGGGATTTAATGCCGAAATGCGTGAGTTTATGAAATCTGCGGCTTTATTTTGTCCAGCATGATCGTCTGGCAAGATTTTGGTTAAATCCAGGTTAAATCATGCTCTAAATCCGTTACCAGACAGGCCCTTAAAGTTGTCCTTTTTGTGCCTGGCAGGATTTAGGTTAAATCCTGCAAATCCTGCTTCGAAACAGCCCCTTAAATTTTGTTTTTTTTTTGCTGGCAGGATTTAGGTTAAATCCTGCAAATCCTGCTACGAAACAGCCCCTTAAAATTTTTTTTTTTTTTTTTTGTTTAGTAGGAGTTTGGTCAAACACTGCTACCAAATAGCCCCTTATTGTATGCTTATTACATTTTTTAGAGGGAAGATCTTTCCATTTTACATATCCCTCTTGCAGAAGTTTAGTGGGTTTTGCTGCAATTTGGAGCCTCATGGGTGCATGTAGGCGCGGAACTTTTTAACCCATGACTGTAAATTAACGTTGTAGTTTAGCTTAATTTTAATTAATTTTCTTTTAATGATGCATTGCTTTACTATTTTGAATTTATCCAATGATCCTAGGTTTTTATGATTATATTTGAATAAAGTTTATGAGATTGTTCTAACAAATGTAAGATTGGTGGTTAAATTGAACATTAAAGATCAATGTCAAGCATATTAAACTTTTTTTCTGCATTGGAGGCAATTATATAACTTTCTTTCGAACAGAAGGCTTCAAATTTTCAACCAACCATAACAATAAAAATAAGTTTGGTGAAATTACTTAATGAAGAAGAAAAGCGTTTTGCACATTTGTTTCACACTAAATTAAGAAATCCTTTGTAATACAAATGCATTATACCCACTTTGCTTTGCATTCTCTATACATTCATTTCTGTATGCAAATAAACAAACAACTCCATGAATTACTTATCTCTTAGATGTTAATGATTTTCTACTTCTTTTTAGTTCATTTTTTGTCTCGTCTTGCCTTTTGATTTTCTACTTTGTCCCTTTTGAGTATCATTTTTTCAGCGGTATTTCTGGCAGTTTGATTGTGGCTAAAGCTGCTAGGTTGCACAATGACTTGGTGCAATCATTGCGAATCTGAATCTACCGCTGTTCGGGATTGTGATAGTGGAAACCTGTAAGGAATTTTTGCTTTTTTCAATCTTTGTAGCTGATTTGATATCAATATGAGTATATTGTGCCAGATTAAGTTTTTTTTTCTGATTTTGAATTTTTTAATCAGTTGCTGTAATGCTTGTGGAAAGATTATTGATCGTGATGTTTATTTTAAGGGTGCTACATTCGAAAAATCAAGCAGTGGCCAGGTCTGTAAGGCTTCAATTATTACCTAAAATTTAGTTTTTAATCTGTTCTTTCATCCTTAACTTCAAGTTTTTTTTATTTTTTATTTTTTATTTTTTAAATTTTTTTATGGTATCCACTCATTCAGAGCAGGTTATCTGGTAACATTCTCCGCAGTGTTGCTGGTGCATATTCACTGTCACGCCAGAAAACTTTGGACAAGGGTATGTTTTGATCTTCTACCCAGGTCTGACAACATTCTTCTTAATGATCTTTGAGGATTGTGTGAAATGCACAGTCATTAAATGTCAAATCTTGGTATTTTAACATTTGACTGGGAAAACTTCCGAATATTAGACTAGTCACCTAATTTTCTGATTTATAATGTGATATCTTGTTATTGATTGCCCCATTATTGTGAGTTATGATTAGATTGCTTTGATTCTTCACTAGGAGGACAAGGCTTTCATAATAATTTGCTTTTAATGAATGAGAAATTACCTATGATATTTGAAAATATTCTTTTTTTGCTATTTGTACATGTTATGCTTTAGTTTACTTGTGTATGTATAAATATGCTTTCAACATTTATTGACCTTTTTGGCTTTATTGTCTATTTGTTTTTATGAATAACTTTGTCATGGCTTGCTCTATTTTTTTGAACATTAAACTATTTTAAATTTAATGTTTTTTCTTAAATCTTTCAGGGAGAGATGAGATTAGTAACATTCTGCTTCATCTGAATGTAGGAAGTGGGGAATCTTTAATCAATAGAGCTCATAATTTATATAAAGTATGTAAGATATGGGGTCAGTTTGATTTTATATTTTTCTAAATTTATAAATATATATATATATATATATATATATATATATATATATATATATATATATTAAATTTTCACTAATTTGTTTATAAGTTAATTTAATCATGCTTTGCTTTACTTCTTGAAGATAGCAGTAGAAAAGAATTTTACGAAAGGACGTAAAACATCTCATGTTGCAGCTGCTTGCCTATATATTGCTTGCCGGTAAGGATTACTTTAGCTCCCAACTTCAGGCGCTCTTGTATAATTACTTCTATTATTCATGTATTTATTTTCTGCTGGACTACAAATAATGCAAATGCACATGACATTCATTTCATCGTGAAATTTTAATTCTTTTAAGGGTCGCTTGCTCTGATGTTTTTTAGAATATATATTCGTTTTAGAAATACAAAATAAATTAAATGCAGCAGTGTTTTGGTTTAATATAAATCTAATGTATTGAATTAATTTTCTTATAATTGTTATTCAAATGCATTGAAATGCCAGCAAGAGAAGTGGAGGGCGACAGGCTCCAACAATTGTAAGAAAAGGGAATGCAATATCTACTAAATTGGTTGATTATAAAATGTAAGGAAATCATAAGTTTTGGTTATTGAATTCAAGAAAACGGAAATACAACTGACTAGACAACTACCTACTCATGATTGTAAAGAGCATGTCTAATTTTTTAGGAGAAAATGCTGAATTCTTATTCAAAAATCTATTGTAAAAGTTCTTATATTTTATTTGCAGGCAGTTGTGAATATGCTTATTAAAATCTAAGTCCATCCTCTTGTTTCTTTTTGTTTTTTGTGCATGTTGAATGTATTTTGATTATGTTTCGAGTAGAGAAAAGGATGTAATTTTTGACCCATAGAAAATTATTATGTAAGAAGATTGTGAAAATGGATCTTTGAAATTTAGATGGTTAAAAAAGGGCAAATGACACAAGCTAATTTTTTTTTTTTTTTTTGATTTGCTGGATATGCTAAGTTCTTAAGTGCTTAATGATACTTTAAATAGCTCCTTATTAGTGAACTACTAGTCAATTTGCAACAACTTTCTCCATAACATTGTGGGAAGATATTTACAATGTTTGTATGATAAGTGTGTATGGTAACATCACTCTTCTAAATCTCGGGACAAAGAATTTAAGATTAATTATTTTCCTTTGGAATGCTGCATTTAGTGATGATCCTAGCGGTTCTTCAATATTATTTGAGCTTGACTTAACAAGCCAAATAGATGGATTAGGAGGAGTACAAATATTGGGTTAACTAAGACAAAGTTAGGTGTAGGTCAAGGCCATAAGTCTAATTGGTTGGATGGAGCATAAATATGATTACTTGAGGGGTACAGGTTGAATCTGATAGGTTCCATTCAAATGCAAAACCAAACAATTACACATGTAGAGTTTGATCACTATATATAGGAGGATAGAGGAGAAAATTTTCCAAATTCAACTCCAAGAGTAGGATTTATTGATAATCTAAATTCTTTGATCATAAAAGAACCAATAGTCTAGAACCAGACATTAAAGGAGGAGAGAGATTAAATATAATTCTATGGATTTAACTTTAGATTTTTTTAGAATTTAGATGACTTCTTAATAAAAGTAAATTATCAAGATAAGGGTCTTATCATATCCGATGACCTATTTTTTATGAATGATGAGGATATAGTCCTTATCAATTATCATCTCTATTTTAGTATTTAGATTTTTACAAAATAGTTGCTTCCACCTAGATAAATTCAATTTGATTTCCATTTCAATTCAAGGAGATCATGGTATATAGAGTCGCTCTTTCTTTCTTTGCCTAAAATCTCTCCTCCCTCTCTCACTTTAGCCAGCCAATCTTTGGCCTTTTTTTTAACAAAATTCAACAAACCATAGGGGCCTTTCTCAAAGTTAGCAACTTAACCAATTCACTTCAGACACATCTCTATAATCTCTTTATACCCAATGAAGGAAGGAGGAAATGTTTTTGTACCATTCATGGAAGAAGAAATTAAGCGTTAAGGAGGCAATGCGAGGAAATGATTAAGAAGCAAGCGAAGCAAAGAGCACTACAAAGAAAAATATCCAAGAAAGAACAAAGACGGAAACAAGCTGTTCTCATGAGAAATTTTCTTCTATTTGGGTAACACCAATCCCAATTCTACTAATGAATTTCACTAAAATGCATGGCTCTTTTAATCTTCACCCTCACCAATTTTCTCATAAGCTGGTATTTTTTTTATTTGGTTAAACTAATAAAACAACCAGAAAAATTCCAAGTTACGGTTTGCTACTGTAAGAGCTCATTAAAAATGATATCAAGGCTTATTTTTAATTTTTAGTTTGAAATTGTTAATCAAGGTTATTCTTTCACAGCCCTTATTTTTTAGAACATATCTGTACATCTTGAGTTGTGAGAAGGTGTATTCTTTCTCATTCTCCTTGATAATTGATCCAACCTATGGGATAGGATTTTCATATCAAATAAATATTAATGTTGGGTTTCTTCGTACTGGATTGAAGTGATTGATATTTTATTTTTTTTTAATGTTCTAAGTTTATGATCTTTAATAGATGTATAGATTATGATCTTTAGATTATCAGTCTATTTATTTATTTTTAGTTTTTTTTAGAAAAGGAATTCAAATCTTTCACATTAAACTATGTAATATTATTATAATTTAAAATATTATTATATCTATTTTCTTAACAATGAATAAGAATTTTGTTAGTTAAATAGCTGATAATTAAAACCAGTCATATTATGCATATATATTTGCTTGGAATATTATTTTTATTTATGCTTTGAATTCACTCAAATCCTTGACAAGAAATGATGCCTCTAGTTTTCCTGCCAAAATCACGACCAAACGTTTAATAATATATATCATCTTTCAAACCATGAGTTAGGATTTCGTTGAAGTCTTGACAAATAAAATAAAAGACCCACCCTTTTAGCATTCTGGATGCTAAGTTTCATTAGTATTTAGTTTTCCAATCAAGATGTCATCAACAATTTTTCACATTTTCATCTCCTATCAGAGTCATTTATTCTGATAAAATTATCAATTTTCTTGATAACTTTTGTAAAAAAAAATCAAATGTTTGCTAAAATCATGCAGATTTTTAGCTTATAAACAAACATTTAGAGTAATTAGTAGTCATAATTGGCGGGGGAAGTCATGTTTTTGACCCCTATATCATCTCTTTCGTATCTATATTTTGCTTTGATTTATTTATTTATTATTATTTTTTTAATGGAGAGCTAGAGATGGCGAGTGGGGGGGTGGGTATATTTTGCTTTGATTTATTTATTTATTATTATTTGTTTAATGGAGAGCTAGAGATGGCGAGTGGGCGGGTGGGTCTGGGAAAGAGAGAGAGGGAGAGGGAGAGGCGGCACAATGTCATCAAGACAACAACGGGTCTTGGCTTTAAAGGAAGCTCCTTTCAATCGTTATGTTTCAATTTTCCTTTTATATCTTTCGAATGTTTTACATCTGTTATCACTGATGTTTTTTCATATATTGCTTGGTTTATCTTTGCCATCTTACTCCAAAATTTTAAATTGAGGGTGGCAGTTGCTTTGAAATGATTCATGGATGAATAAATGCTTATTAATCACAAAACAACATAAACACTTTTCTACTATGTTTTTTTTCATATAAAATGACATGCACTTGACTAATTTTTAACTACATTTGTTTCGAGCATGTAGAATTTGACCAGGGACATGAATTTGTTGAGTGTTTCATTTCATAAGCTATGTATAATTTTTATCAGTGTTATCAAAACACAAAGGGTAATGTAATGCGGAAGCCTTTATTTTTGCCTCACAACGTAATGCACAGAGCTATGCGATGCTTTGATTAAACAAAATGCTGATAGGTTGTATAAAATTATTAATGTATAAATACATTCATTGGACAATTTATAAAATATGAAATGACTTAAAAGTTGATATAAAATAAAAATAATCTGGTACAATACTTAACTTGAAGACAAACATTGAGGGAAAAGTTACAAACTAAAATTTTGAACAATTTCTGGTAGTTTGCTGCAATAATTAAAAAATTAAATATTGCAAAAAAAATCTGCAAATTAATTTCGGCATTTCAAAGAACACTTCAACAAAGTTAAATAGCCATCACACGCTTTTTTTTGTTTGCTTGTGAAGCGCACTTCAAAGCGCACCTTTAAAAACATTGTTTTATATAGTTCTCGGAAACTCTCTTATAGTAAGTATACAAAATTAGGTATTAAAAGATTAGCCACAAGATTAATTACAAAAAGTCTCTCTATGGATTGGTGAGGTGTGAATAATGATTTAATGGATCAATCAGTTGCCATACTGAGTTGGATAGGGGCAAAGTTCATGGTGGGGGTGGCTAGATGTGAGCTGTTTGGGCATTTTTCATACCCCACCTCAAGCGATTAGATGGTTATTATTCATTCCAAGCTTTTTTACTGATTTTGTAAAGACTACCTGTTATAATTTTATGATGAGAATGTTCACAAGTTGTTCATATGTAATGATGAACAAAATAAAAATTAGATCATTGTCCACCTTCTTTTTTATAAAATAATCAACTTAAATATGCTTGGTATATTCATTTTACATGAGATTACGCCCAATATTGATGTCTGACTTGATATCACAACAAAGCCACATAGATCTTTCCTTTATTTTTTAAATTTTCTAAGATAATTTTTAGCTATAGTAATTTTTAGGCCTTTGGTTCCATAAATTTAAATTTGACTTTTGTATTGGTTATTGCTATCATATTTTATTTCATATTTCTTAAAGACATGAGTTTTTTTCTTAGAAATGTGTAATATTCTAAAGTTAACCTCTTATCAATTATAGAATTTATATAATTTGGATTTGTAAATGCTTCAGGAGCCAGTTCCACTCTTTTTTTAAATATAACTCTTTTATTTAGTGTTCCATTCAAATTTGATGTGATTCTTTAGGATTGTGCTTGATTTGACTCACCACACCAACATTGTATGCAATGTCAAGTTTAAATTGTCATAAATTGACAGATTTTCCCACTAGTCTTTAGAGTTTTTTTTTTTTTTTTTCAATTGATGTGCTTTCTGAAGTATTTTTTAATTTATAATGAAAATTTATAGGATTCTCAACAGGCATCTGTGCCAACTTACACATCATTTTTAACAAGTTTGTTTTATATTTCTGTTTTGATATAAAAATTCTCTGTTG